GGGGGGGCAGTGGAAAACTAATCGCAGTGAAAATATATGAAAAGTAAAAGACTAGAGGGGTTTGAGAGTCGGGAAATGGGGTGGGGCGAGGACAGGATGGAGTAATAACAAGGGGAATGGAGATGGGTCGGACACTGACAAGGAGTGCGGAAGAGGAGTTGGTCACTGGCAGGGGAATAGAATGGGGTTAAAGGGAGGAGGGAGATAATAGGATGGAAGTAGTAACAAGACGTTGGGAGAGAGATTGAGTTAGGGGGACATAGGGCTTAAATTCTTTTGATTTGGCGGAGATAGACTTTCTCCGCTCAGTAAAAAAAAAAGCAGATAATCAAATAGAGAAAAATATGGTTTGGAGGGGAAAGGTGGAAAATTAAGGAGAGGAGAAGGGAGTGGGAGTAGGTGGGGCGGGGGATCGACTCGAGTCTTCGTTCAAGTATCATAATAAATACAGTATTCCTAAATTCTCAAAAGGGTATTGTTTTCCATATACAATTCTTTGAAGCAGTGGGACATACTCCATTGTTTGTCCGTCCCGATCAAAGCTTGCGGACACGATTTCTCGTAAATAGCTCAGTTATTGATGTTAAAGATGAGCTCCCTTGATTTTTAATCGAATCTCATTGTTTCAAATACATAAAGCATTACGGTAATTTGTGTAGCATTAAAAAGTTAATTTTCAGTTTACCACTGGTGAGAGAAAATTCAATAGTGTCAGATTTAAAAAAAACAAACGGTTTGGACATAGACAGTGCAAGTGATAACAGGCGTCGCTAAGCTATCATTTAAACGAACAGACATCATTCACGTTAGTTAAGCGGTAAGTTAGTTTAACTTATAGGTAACTTAGAATTTGGTTTATTTGTTTAGATTATAAACGTCGAGGTAATGTGAATTCTGCAATCCTTTCATTTTAAAGCCGAAATAGCACATGAAAAACACACATGGTCTGATAATAAACTGTTATGTATCGAACTGTTGGTATTTAATCATTCAACCATTCTTTATGCATACAAACAAAAGCAGGATGCACTGTTTAAGGACCCCGTACCACTGCCCAAAATGAAACCATGCATTGGAAAACAATTTTGCCAGCTTTGATAATAATATCTTTTCTAAAAAGAAAATCATAACTTGCGGTTTTAACAAGTTTCTGTTTGTACAAATTAGGCAAGACTAGACAGGGATTCGAACCATGGTCTTTAGATTGGGTGGTCGGGTGGTGCAGTGGAGAGCGCACTTGATATTCACCAAGGTGGCCGGGGATCGATTTTCCGATCGGACGTGAAAAGGTTGGGGTCACCTGCCCTATCACGTGGGTTTTCTCCGGTTTCCTCCAACCCTAAGATCCCCCCACGCGCTAACATCCAGGCCAACAAGAGTGATTATTATAAGTTGAAATAACTTGCTTCATAATTGATGTAGAATAAATAAAGTTTATATTTATAGATTGTTATATTGTCGTTCTGACCTCGGCACCGAAGGCTCATATGTGCTACTGTTACATCCAAAACAAATTTATATTTACGATAAATCACAGATCATGGATCCTTAAACTCACCAATAACCCATCTTAAACAATCTTACACTACAGCATAAGTGTAATTAGAAGTGTCCCATATCAAAAGTATTGGTCCGATTAGATTTTAGATGTCAAAATAGGGGTAATCGCATGGGGAGGGCAATAACAGGAACATTTGTACGACGTTTTGTTAAAACTGATCTGATAGAATTGAGAATTAATATAAAAAAAATGTCTCGACTCATTCAGATAACAGGTTACCATTTGTTACTGTAAATTGTTTCAAGAAAGACAACACTTTGTCAGGGTTTTTATCAAAATAGGCCGGAAAAACATTCCGCAGAACTGAAGAAAACGTATCGGCCAAGGATGTCGTTGGTTTCGAATCAGTATAATTACAGTGTAAATGCTATTATAATTGACATTAACTGTTGGTAACGTTCGCTTGTTGGACCTGGAGATTTCCCCATATCAAGCCCCGCCCTCTAGATCTGCTCACAAGGAAAGTCACCCCATGTTCCAGAGATCTGTTCCGTGTCAGATTAATCCCTTCACTAGTACAGTCTTTTAAGGGCGAAGAGTCCCGGCGCTGTGTTACACCTTCACCGAAAAAAGAAGATCCAATTTGTTTGACACTTTTCCGACTTTGAGTCGCTTGCCCATTTACTATAGCAAAGAGTTCCATATTACATTTATAATTTTCTTTTAAAGAAAAACATCCCAAAGAAAAACAAAAACATCCCCGAGAAAAACAAAAAACATCAATGAGAAAAACAAAAAAACATCCACGAGAAAAACAAAAACATCCCCAAGAAAAACAAAAAACATCCATGAGAAAAAAAAAACATCCACGAGAAAAAAACAAAAACATCCCTTAAGTTTTGATCTCCGGTCCTGGCTTGATTATAAAACAGGAAGCTTAGCCACTGCACTACCGTCCTGGTATTTGTTAATATTTACACTTTCCTGTAACAAATAAAGTCAACGGTCTTTTGTAGGCAATAAAGGAGCTACACGAAAAAAAAGGTCCCACAAGCTAGGAGTTATTTGTAATACTGGTAGATTATATACAGGAAAACTGAGGGAAGCCACTAACCTCCTTATTAGATTTAGTCAAAGTCCCTAAAGTTGTTCTGGACTAACAGATTTTAAAAAGAAAGTTGGGAGACGAACGTCAAATGTCATATGCCCAACAGGCCAAGTGAGTTCTAAATGGCTGTAAGCAGGATTGCTTCCTATTACACTATAGGTATTCCATATTAAGTTTTCAGTCCAATTAGACATTGGACACCTGTTCATCACCACAGGTAACGAATGCGGACAACCAACAAGAGGCCCAATGGGCCTGCATCGTTCACCTGGTATTAATCTCACACTTGTAATCTTAAAAGTGGACTAAAATACAGCTACAGGCAGAATATCAGTGTTTGATTCAAAAGAACCTATTTAAGGATTTAAACATATGACGCCTGTGACCTTGAATGTCGAACATGGACATTAGGTTGAACAGAGTTTATAGTCTTCCAACACAGCATGCATCTGGCAAAATATCATTACCCTGGACCTTTTGGTTATATAGAACAAATCATTTAAAGATTTAAACATATATTGACCACTGTGATCTTGAATATGGGTGAAGGTCATTTACTTGGTAGTCCTTCATCCCAGCATGTTAATGGCCAAATATCATCACTCTTGGCCTTTTGCTTATTAAGAAGAAGTCATTCAATGGTTTTAAACATATTTGACCCCTGTGACCTTGAATATATATGTCAAGGTCATTCATTTGAACAAACTTG